ATGGAGCTTCCGCAAGCCGCTCCGGCCGAGTGCGCCAGCCATACCTCTTGCGAGCCCCTACGACAGGATAGGGCCTACGCGAGGCACGACTTACCTCCACGTTACGGGAGCTGTCACCTCCCTTCGGTCGGCGTATCCCCGCCGAGCTACCAGTCCACAGTACGAAAGCTAATCAGTTGCAATCGCAGAGGTGGACCAGCCGAGGGCGTTTCTCGTTCGCTGTAGCATAGGGGATACGTGCGGTAATACGCCTCTATCCGACCCGCACACGAATCGTCATCTTGGGGGGCTGAAGTCCCAAGCGCGGTTCGTCGCCGGTCGACTAGGACGCATCCCACACACCACGCTCACACCACTTTACGAACACAAAAATAAAACACACACACACACTCACACACGCGAAACGACACAACACAAACAACGCGACAACGCTCCTAGCCCCTTGATAGCCAACCCATAACTTTCCAGTGCGGAAATCAAATAGGCGTCGCGCGCAAGACTTAGTATAAAACCGCGCGGACGCAGGGCCTACTCATATCGACTCACAATACAGGCGTACGCAAGCAGTCGCAATGATGGCGTACTATGTAGTGCCCATAATCAAGCGGTCCCTTGTGGATCCGAGTACCGCTTATGACACTCAAGTCTGAGACTCGAGTGAGGGTCTAATCCTTCACGACATTGCACGACTGAAGGAATAGCCGTGCAGCCGCCGTGAGACCTCCGACCTTTGGTCTGAGCGTCTCGGTAGGCAAGGCAAATAAGCTCTGCGCGAGGGAAAATCCCTCCCCAGCAGAGCCTAGGGCTTGGGATGTCCTGGACAAGGACCTCGAATCCCGACCCAGGATTAACGTCCGACTAAGAAAATTCTCAAGAAGCAAAGCAAAGATAAACGGAGAGGTCATCCCTGGGCCTCTCAGTCTTACCTTCTGAGTATCCCCTTTTGTACGGGGCCCCTTAACCCATGCAGACATTTACCATACGTACACCCATGTATATATGTATATAAAGGGGGAAGTACGTGATGATCACTTCTCACAGTCTCATTGGGGTCCCTCACAGCCAAACGTATATATGTGATCGCAGACAACCAAATCCAGAATCTGATTCATAGCACATACCTGCAAATCACATCAACGAGTCAATCGAAAGCACACACACTACACGGAGTCAACCCCAAACAATTTCAACACTCATACCCCTCGCTTTAGCCATGYAAGCCCCAACCTCCTGCTCAACCAACCTTAATTAAATACTCAGTACCTTYGTCAAATGACCATTCAATAAAAGTCCGGGTGAAACCATAATGAAACAATGAAATCACCAGGGCTAAAGCCTTTTAGGTTGAGTGTAAAGGGTGAGTTGGAATTGAGTCGTAGACCGACGAATCGGCAACCGACCTATTATCAGTGATAACAGATAACGATCCTCAAGGGATTAAGCTGAATCTAATCCTGAAGTTGAATCAGACGATCAAGAGGACCTCTAACACATGACAGGTCAATGTCCCAAACTAAACCTATAAGTTCATGGAGAACAATCTCCATATCGTGTTCTTACCCAAGTCATCTTAGGCAGCTATGTTTAAGCCTATCTCTAAGCAATATGGTAAAATCTTCCTTAGTTAGAGTGGACTATCAAAATTGTCACCTGTCAAAACATAATCGATTTCCTTTAAACTAGGAAAATTTCGGCAGCGCTTTCCGTAGGAAAAGTGTCTTTCCAGAATTTATATAAGTCCAGATATGAAAGGCAGAAATAATTTCTAACTCAAAAAGTCAAAATTATGTCTAACTTTCTGAAATAGCAGAAATTTGGGCAGCACTCCCTTTAGAAAGAGAGGCTTTCCAGATTTATACTAAGTCAGATATAAAAAGCAGAAATAATTCATAACTCTAGAGAGTCAAACTCTGTCAAACTCCCTGAAATGGCAGAAATTTTGGCAGCACTCCCTTTAGAAAGGGAGGTTTTCCAGATTTATACTAAGTCAGATATGAACTCGAAAGACAGCTCGAGTTCAACTTTAGACAATATTTAATCAACTCCTTAATTTTGCGGAAATTTCGGCAGCACTCCCTCTAATAAAGTGCTATGTCAAAATTTATACAAGGCTAAGTCCAGAATTTGAAAGTAACTTTGACTCCCTAAAGTCCAATTTTGTCTAATTACCTGAATTAGCAAAAATTTGGGCAGCACTCCCTCTAGAAAGGGAAGCTTCCCAGATTTTAACTAAATCAGATATGAGAAAAGATAAAGTTGAACTTTTGACAAGTCAAAATTAAAATAACTCCTTGAATTTGTAAAAATTTCGGCAGCGCTTCCCGTAGGCAAAGTAGCTTGCCAAGATTTAAACAAACCCAACCATAAGAAAATATCTAAAAAAATGCAAGAATTGACCTAAGTAAAAAAAATATTATAGAAAATGCAGGAATTGACACTAACTCCTATGGCTCTAGCACGTGGCGAGCAACTAAAGCAACTACCTATCAACCTGAAACTCAGACTAAGTAGTGGCCTCACTCAATCATATGCAAGCCATACCACAAAGGTAAGTACTCTCACCAATCCCAAGTTAACCTGGATAAACAATAGTTCATGATCTCTCAATTATTTAACTCATTATACCCAGCTTACATAAGGCATAGGTCGGGCCGCATGAACTTACAGAACAGCTTAACTTAGCCAGGACTAGAGTCAGAATACCTAAACTCATAGAGCGTTCTGACTTTGCCAAATATACACAAACATAGGGCACAAATACTTTTCTCTTCTTTGGGCACATGACTAGACCACTCTAGTCGCCTTGGACTGTTTAAAGTATCCAAGTTGTATATACTTATCTTCACCTTTGTCTTCTAAGGCTGCATATGACWGAACTAACTTAAGTTCARTCTGCCCCAGTTTACCACCAGTTTTATTATTASTTATACTCTCTTCAAGTTGTGATACGGCTATAGTCAGACCACCTAAACTTATAAAACAGTCTGATTGAATCGTTCTTAAATAGAATAGTAATAAAGTATAGCCAAATTATAACCATTGGGTTCCAGCATGTGCGAGGCTTTGAGACAGACCCCCTGAACTTGCAGAAGGGTTCAACTCTCTGCCAGATTCGTTTCTATCTGAGCCATTATGTGTGTGGCATCGAGTCAAACCCCCTGAACTTACAGAAGGGTCTACCTCTTTGCCGAGATTATTTCTTCAGAATACAGAGCAGAAAGAGACTGAGCCACCTGAACTTACAGAACAGTTCGGTCTCCTCGTTCAGAAACCAAAGAAACAAGTAAAATCCCAATGAAAACAAAGCAACCCAAGACACCAAAACTTATTGAGCGCCCCGAGTCCCTGAAAATCAAGCACAATCAAACCTCTCACAGGTCAGAGCAATAAGGCCACCTTAACTTACAGAACAACCTCACCCTCCATGCAGACCATATCACTGGGTCTCCCCAAACTTATGGGGACATACCAGCCTTCAGAGTAATCAGACCCCCTAAACTTATAGAAGGGTCTGATTTCTCCATG